ATATATAGAGTATCCGATTATGATCTAATAAATCACGAACAGATTTCATTGAAATGTATCAACACGTATTTATGTCATCAAACAATTACGCATTGATTTCTTATCGATTTTTCAGCATGATGTATCTCCATACACGTCGGACAAGCTGGAGCCGGAGAGCTCTCTTATTCATGTTGTTTGTGAACAGGGCGGGCGTGCGGTGTACTTGTGTGTTGCAGATGAGCATTTGACCGGCATTTACGGGTAATTATCGGCAATAATAGGCGAAATAGAGTAGAGAAATATTAAGACTTTGGTAGTGAATACATTTCGTGTTTATTTACCTCTTTTTTAGACGTTCCAAGTGCTTGTGGAGTTGCGCGTTTCACTTGGCAAAGCGGGTGGAGCATGGGGAAGAGGTGGTCGCCAGGCATATTTAAGTGGATGTGTCCAAACTTTGGCAATACTCCAGGCTTAATCACTTTATTTGTCCCCTTTCCGATTTACTTCCTGGCCTTAGACTTCAGCTTTTGTGCTATTAGGAAAATAACCTTCTTCAGCGATCTGTTGGACACTGCATTACAGAAAATGTAAATACGTTTCGATTTGTCATCACTATATTAATATCACAATCAACTCTACATGCCTTCGTGAATATCAGTGTGCATTTTAGGTAAGTGAACTGCACTGGACCTACGCGGAACATAAAGACGCACAGTGCGTGCCTACAGTTGGGAGAAGAATGTCAGATCTGCATGCTGCCTGTTCACTTGGGGACGTTGAGAAAGTGTTAGAACTTCTGCGAGGTGAAGCGAAAACATCGTGCGTGAACGTACGCATGGAGACGCCTCTCCACGTCGTCTGCGCACTTTCGCGGGACAGGACGGAAAAGAAGATGGAGATTGTGAAACAGCTGCTGCTGCATGACGCGCCCCTACAAGAAGAGGATGAGCGTGGGCGAACGCCTCTCATGCTCGCCTGCGAAACAGCCAGCGTGGATGTTGCAGCCGCGCTGCTAGACAATGGATCGGACCTCCGCGCGCATTACCGTGGCGACGGAACGATGCTGCATGCAGCCGTGGCCGGCGGGAACGCGCGGGTCCTGTCGCCGGCTTGCTCTGGCCAGCTGGACATCATGCGCCTGCTACTGGAGGCCGGCGCCGACCCCAACGTCGCCGAGACAAAGAGCGGAGTGACGCCGCTGATGAGGGTGGTGACGGAGGGCGATGAGGCGGCGGTGCGGATGCTGCTCTCACACAGCGCCGACGCCAACGTCGCGGACTCGCAAGGACAGACCTCCCTGCACATGGCGGCTTGCTCTGGCCAGCTGGACATCATGCGCCTGCTACTGGAGGCCGCAGCCAAGCCCAACGTCGCCGATACGGACAGCGGGGCGACGCCGCTGATGATGGCGGTGAGTAAGGGCGATGAGTCGGCGGTGCGGATGCTGCTCTTACACGGCGCCGACGCCAACGCCGCGGACTCGCACGGAAGGAACTTCCTGTACCACGCGGCTCGCTCTGGCCAGCTGGAAATCATGCGCCTGCTACTGAAGGCCGGCGCGGATCCTAACGCCGCGGACTCGAACGGACAAGCCACCCTGTACAATGCGGCTTGCTACAGACAACTGGACATCGTGCGCCTGCTACTGGAGGCCGGTCATGACCCCAACGTTGCCGAGACGAAGACCGGGAATACGCCGCTGATGATGGCGGCGTGGGAGGGCGATGAGGCGGCGGTGCGGATGCTGATCTCACAATGCGCAAACGCCGCGGACTCGTTCGGAGAGACCTTCCTGTACCTCGTGCCTTGGTCTGGCCAGCTGGACATCATGCGCCTGCTACTGGAGGCCGGTGCAGATCCAAACTGTGCCAAGACGCAGAGTGGAGTAACGCCGCTGATTATGGCGGCGTGGGAGGGCGAGGAGGCGGTGGTGCGGATGCTGCTCTCACACGGCGCCGATGCCAACGCCGCGAGATCGCACGGAATGAACGCCCTAGACCAGGCGGCTCTCTCTGGCTGGCTGGAAATCACGCGCCTGCTACTGGAGGCCGGTGTAGATCCAAACGTCGTCGAGACGAAGACGGGGAAGACGCCGCTGATGATGGCGGCAGGGGCTGGCGAGGAGGCGGTGGTGCGGATGCTGCTCTCACACGGCGCCGCCGCCAACGCCACGGACTCGCACGGAAAGACCTGCCAGCACCAGGCGGCTCGCTTTGGCTGGCCGGACGTCATGCGCCTGCTACTGGAGGCTGGCGCAGATCCAAACGTCGACGAGACGAAGAACGGGAAGACGCCGCTGATGATGGCGGCGTCGGAGGGCGAGATGGCGGTGGTGCGGATGCTGCTCTCACACCGCGCCGACGCCAACGCCGCGGACTCGCACGGAGAGACCTCCCTGTACCACGCGCCTTGGTCAGGCTGGGCGGACCTCATACGCTTGCTATTGGAGGCCGGTGCATATCCAAACGTCGCCGAGACGCAGACCGGGGAGTCGCCGCTGATGAAGATGGTGAGGGAGGGCGAGGAGGCGGCGGTGCGGATGCTGCTCTCACACGGCGCCGACGCCAACGCCGCGGACTCGCACGGACAGAGCACCCTGTGCCACGCGGCTTGTTCTGGCAGGCTGAACATCATGCGCATGCTACTGGAGGCCGGCGCCGACCCAAACGTCGCCGAGACGGAAGAAAGGGGGCGTTTCACAGTGTTACACTACTCCTGTCATGGACTTCAAACCGAGGTAAAACTACGGGCATACGTTGCGAATGATTGAGACCAAATAATTTTAGCGATGTTCCAATTTATTTTTGTCTAGATAATAAAGGTAATCAGTAATAGTAATCGGTTAACAGTTAATAATAGATATGTTAAATAGTTTTACCGCATTACACTACTCCTGCAATCTGCTCGGGACCGAGGAAAAATGTGGGCGTACGTTGTGAACGACGATGACAATTTTAGCAATGTTCCAATTTATTTTTGTCTAGATAATAAAGATAATCAGTAATAGTAATCGGTTAATAGTTAATAATTTAATAATAGTAATAGTTAGTAATCGGCAACAGTAATAAA